GATGGAAGTCGAAGCCGTGGGGCTGGTTGGGCTGCATCCCCTGGGCACTGAGCAGGGAGTGCAGCAGGTTCACCGTGTCCTGGTAATCACTGGCCTGACTGGGATTGTGCCCGTTGGCCCCACTGGGACCTTTGTCAGCTTTGTTCTGGCTGCTCCTGGCTTTGGGAGCCTGGGATAAAGGAAGGTTGCTTGGATCTGAAGTGTGGTGAGATGTCCCGGGGAGGTGGGGATAAGGGAAGGGCACCCCTGGAGCTTTGGAGGCTTTGGTGACTTTGGGTTGGTGCTCGTGGGTCTCCTCGGGGGGCGGCCTCTTGCGGGAGGAGACCAGGGCCCCGTGGCCTTTGTGTGGCCCAGCACTGGGCTGGTTGCTGTGCTTGGAGTCCCCTGGTCTCTTGCTGGTCACGCTGCTGGGACCCGGGCCCAGCTGAGGGTGCAAGTGTTTGTGTGAGTGGTGGTTGTGGTGGTGGTGGTTGGAGGAGGAGTGACTCTTGTACTTCTCCTTGTGCTCGCGGCTCTTGGCGCCGCCCTCATCCGAGGGGCCGTGTCTCTCGGCAGGGGTTGGCACCTTGATCCGCATTTTTATCTCCTCCTGCTTGGAAGGGAGTGGCCTCTCCCCACCCCCACCAGCCACGGGGATCCTCAGCTTCAAGGCCGAGGTCTTGTCCATCTTCTCCGGGCCGGGAGGTCGCTCGGGGTTCTCGGAGCCACCGATGGGGATTTTCAGGATGATGGGAGAGGGGTTGTTGTCCTGTTGACTTTCCCTCTCCCTCTGCTGCTGCACCAGGAGGTTCTGGGCAGCGTAGGCATATTGAGACCTCACGTTGGCCTCCATGTTCTCCAGCTGCCTCTTCTGAGCTGCCAGCTCCTCGGCGTGCTTGGCCCTGTACTCCTTGAGGGACACCTTGGCCGACGGGGGGTTCTTGCCACCTGGTTTCTGATACCCAGCACCTTCTGGCTGGGTAGGATTCTCAGCCACTGAGGAGCTCTCGTTAGTCCTGTGGGTCTGGTTGATCTCCAGTTTGGCTGGGGGGTGCCAGTGGTCGGGCTGGGACACTTCTGTGCTGCTCTGGTCACTGGGGGAGTCGGGGCCGGTTGTCAGCGCCGGCCCCGCGGTGGAGGAGGTCGACATGCTCATCAAACCAGCAATGTTCATGTCTGAGCTGTTGTTCCTGGAGATCATGTTAAGGATGGTCTGTTCTGACAGGCTCTCATCCTCCCCGTGCTCGTCAGGCTTGGACTTCCTGGCTGCTTGGGAGGCCTGGAAGGAAAAGAAACAAACAGGCCTTGGTCACTTTGTCTGGACTGTCACCAGGAGCTCATCCCACAGCACCAGCTCTGGATCCCACAGTCCCACTGCTACCACCCCCACCCCCTCCTGCTGGGAAAGACCCCGACCCTTGGCAGCAGGGATGAGAGAGCAGCTGGAAAAGCCACCAGCTCTCCAGGGTTCATTCCCAACTCAAACACGGAAGGAGCATTTTGCAGCCAACAGAGGAGGGGCCAGACCCGTCCCCAAACACACACCCTGCAGGTGACAGCTGAGCTGCCGCAGCCTCCTGCACCCAGGGGAGGACAGAGCCCGTGTCCATGTCCCCCTGCCAGCAGCCTGTGTCCTCCTGCACCCCCTGTCCCCCCCATTCCTGCCCCCCTGTTCCCAGGCAGCCCCTTCCTTACCCTCCAGTTCCGGATGCGTTTCAGCCGGTTCGGGGTCTTCTCCAGGATCTGCAGGAACTCGTGGGTCAGCTCTGCAGGGGAAACACAAGGGCAGGCAGGAGGGTCAGAGCAGCTCAAATCCATCAGGACAAGCCCCTCATCACTGACTGTGGAGCTCCTGAGGAGGTGCAACTACCCCCTCAAGAGGGGAAACGCTGAGAACCTTCCAACTCATCTCCCTCTGTGCCTGGTGCCACCTCTGGTGCCACCACAGGAGCTGCTGGAAACCTTGGCAAGACCCTGAACTCCCTGAACCACCCCTGGAGGGCAGAGCCAGGGAAGAGAGGTGCCAAAAAAAGAAGAACAATCACCTAAGAGCCCCTTTTTTTTGGGCTGGAACCTCAGCTCCCCCCAAACTTACCATCTAAGAGCTCCAGAGTTACTGTCCCATCAACGTATTCCCACCAGTGCTTCCCGTCCGTGGAGACTGGGATCTCCCAGTTGGACCATTTACATGCCAGGTGGATACAGACACAGGCCACGACGGGGGGGGTGTACTGCAGGCTGAAGGTGGTCAGGTGCAGGCTGAGGTCACCAGCAGGGAGACACAAACAGAAAGGATCCATCAGCTCCCCAGCCTGAGCTCCAGCACCCTCAGCTCCAGCACCCTGAGCTGCCTCTGAGCAGGTGGATGTGATGGGGGGGTTGTGGGGGTGGTCCCTGCTGGCCCCCCTCCACCACCTCCACCACCCCCCCAGTACAGCCCAACTGTTGTGTCTCTAACCCTGGTTGGTTCTTCTCCCTTGTTTTGCTGCAGGGGATTTGGGGTGGGGGCAAACCTGGGAGGCTGCAGCCCCTGCTGGGGGTTTGTGTCTCTAACCCTGGTTGGTTCTTCTCCCTGTTTTGCTGCAGGGGATTTGGGGTGGGGGCAAACCTGGGAGGCTGCAGCCCCTGCTGGGGGTTCTGCTCCATCCATGGAGGATCTCAGGACACTTCAGAGAACCATGGGATGGTTTGGGTTGGAAGGGACCTTAAAGATCATCTAGATCCAACCCTCTGCATGGACAGGGACACCTCCCACCAGCCCAGGCTGCTCCAAGCCCCAGCCAACCTGCCCTTGGACACCCCCAGGGATGGGGCAGCCACAGCTTCCCTGGGCAACCTGTTCACAGTCCAGCTGCAGGTGCTGGGAACCACCATCCAACCTGCCCTTGGACACCCCCAGGGATGGGGCAGCCACAGCTTCCCTGGGCAACCTGTTCCCAGTCCAGCTGCAGGTGCTGGGATCCAGCACAATTCCAGCTCCACCATTCCCAGCCACAACTCCCCTGTTCCAGGGTCTCACCACCTTTACACTGACAATTTACACTTCCAAGTGGAACTCCCAGACTGACAGAACTCCCAGGATGACCTTCCAGGAACCAACCAGCCTCTCTGACCTTTAGGAAGGATCTGGTCTTTTCCCTAAGGATTTTTCAGGAAAAGCACCAAAGTTTTGGGTGTGAACAGCACCCAACCCCAGGGTGACTCCCAAAAAGGAGCCTCTCAAGCACTTTCATTAATAAATTGATCTGAATTCTTCACCACCCTCAGGTGGCTTCAACATTTCTCCATCAACACAAGGTGGAAAGACAAGAGACTCTGCATCCACAGAGAGTCCAAAGCTGCTTTCCCAGACACCAGAGAAGTCAAACCCAGGGAATTTGGAGCCTCTACCCAGGTCAGGAGTGAAGCTGAGGAGCATCAACCCTGGCCCAGAGTGATGCCAGGAGGAAATGAATCCAGAAGTTAAAATCTACTTCAGCTCAAGAGTTTTATGGCACCACTTGAAGGAAAAAAATCGAGGCTGCCTCTGCCCTTCTGCTTGGAATTCCTTCCAATCCAACCTTAACTCCTAATTCCTGGGGTATCCAATGATTTTGCTGCAGGGACAAACACAATTCCAGGCTGTGTTTACCCCACATCTTCTCCCACCACCTTTCCCTGGCACATCAGTTTGTGCAGGAAAACCAGAGAGTGGTGCCCTCTGGAGCTGCACCTGCCACGAACAATCCAGTGGGAGCTGAACTGGGAACACCCCCAGGATGAGGGGCAGGGAGGGAGGGAAACCACTCCATTCCCAAGGCCAGGCCCCATTCCCAGCTCAGCCCAGGCCCCATTCCCAGCTCAGCCCAGACTGGGAAACATTCTCTGTCTCTGCAGTTTCACCTCAACCACCTTTTTTCCCCCCCTCCCATCCTTTCACCTCCACAAGCTCCTTCCCCAAAACCACCAAGTTTTCCAGGCTCTGTTCCCAACTCTGTCACTTCCCTGATCATCCAGGAAAGCTCCCAAGTCCCAACACCAGGGCTGGCATCAGCCTGGCAGGGAAAAGCCACAGACAAAACCACCCAGACCCCTCCAAGTGAAAAGAAAAGAGGGTTTGAGCCTCATTTCCAAGGTTTCCTGAGGCTGCTGAGATCAGAGCTGCCTGTTCAACCAGGGGGGTAAGACAACCAGGACCTTGTTTTTCTCTCCTAACACCTTTTTTTCCCCCTTTTACCCTCTAAATCAGCCACCTTTGGAGCCCAGACCACAGTTTTGGACCATCTGCACAGCACCTGGGTCAGTCACAACCCTTCCACACACCATGTCCATCAAAAAAAGTCCAGATTCATTTCAAGCACTGGTTTTGGTTTGGGTTTTTGGTGGGTTTGTTGGGGTTTTTGGCGGGTTTGGTGGGTCTTTTGGTGGGTTTGGTGGGGTTTGTGGTGGGTTTGGTGGGTCTTTTGGTGGTGGGTTTGGTGGGTCTTTTTAGAACCCCCCCAAAAAAGCAGCAATGAAGCTGCTGAGCATCCCAGTTCTGCTCCTTGGGATGAGTTTGCAGCTGGTCTGGGCCAGCTGGGAGCAAGGAAAAGGTTTCCTGCTCTTTCTGAACCAAACTGAGGTGCCCCTAGTTGCTGGCAGGTTGGCCAAAGCTCCAGGGCTACCAGCTCCTCCAGGGAAAACCCCCCTCCAAACAGGAACCAATAATCACCTGTTGGTAGCCATGAAATAGGAAGTTTGGGCCAAGTCCTTGCTGGCTGGAAGAGAAAAGGACAAAGTTGGGTGTTAGGGTGAGAAATGTTGTCCCCTTTGGTGCAGGAACCTCATGTCCCCTCATCACTCCCCAGGATGCAAGAGCCCAGCAGGGCTGGATCAACCCCAACCCACAGGCAGAAGGATTTCTGTGATTTG